ATATACATCTGATTGCAATGCTTTCTTTTCTAGTATTACAACATGTCATTTGTTGTATAATAAGACAGGCTCCCAAGGCATTTGGCTAGGGGGCCCATTTGTGCCTGGGTGGAGGAGGGGAAGCATGGATTACTCTGGGGGGATGGGCCCTGCTTTGCTGGTAGCCAGGTAGCCATCAAGAAGTTTCCTGCAGGCTGCCTCCAACGAACCAGCCCAGCAGAGGGGGCATAGGGACCTGGAGCTGACTCTGGTGCACAGCTTGGGCTGCAAAGGAGCTGGCTGAGGGTGGTGTACCATTCTGGAATTCTCGGCAAAGATCTACAGCAAAGTGCCCTGGGTGTTCAGCAAAGCAAGTTGGAAGAAAAAGAAAGAGAGAGAGAAAAGCTGAAATTCACTAGAGCTGAAATCACTATTCTCCTCTGAAATGCACTAAGCTGAGCCTCCTGCTTCCTCCTCTTCCCTTGGGGACATCGATGAGCCCGGATAAGGAGGAATTGTTTCAAGACTCACAGAGTGGCTGCTCTCCCCAGTTGCACCAGGGAAGCCATGTGCCGGGAGCCAGTTCTTCATGACAGGGAAGTGGGGTTGATGGCTAGGAATAGCGGTTCCCTTCCAGCCCCATTCTGGAACTCTCTCGGCAAAGAACCACCCGGCCACATTATGCTTTCAGAATGTATGTTCAGTGTGCTATTCATCTTTCACTATGCCTGCAGGGGATCGCTGGTTAACAGGGCTGGAAAGGAATTTTACCAGGGCCTTGATTGGCTATCAGGCCCTGGGATCTTTGCTTTTCCCTTAGCAAAGAAAGTAAATGTATCCTGTGGGTCCTTGACTGTAAAGAGCATAGCTGTCACAACCGGCTGCTGGTATTTAGGCACTGGCAGGGAACACAGTGGAGGTTGTGTGGGTCAGGGTCCCTGCATGACCAAAGCAGAATCCCTTTAAATGGCTCTGCAGGGTGGGGCACGAGACAGCTAACCTCGAGGGTGGCCAGGCCTCCAGGAGAACGGTGATGACCAGTGTTCCCTCTAAGCTGAGTTGGTGTGAGCTAGCTCACAGTTTTTTAGCCTCCGGCTCACAGATTTTTGCCTTAGCTCAGGAAGGATGGCCTCAAAGCAAACTAATTTATGCAGCAACCTAATGGCTCGCTCAAAACTTTAATGCCCATAGCTCACAAAGTAGGATTTTTGCTCACAAGACCCCACAGCTTAGAAGGAACATTGGTGATGACTAGGAATAGCAGTTTCTGCCCCTTCCAGCCCTAATACTAGCCCTCTGCCCTTGTTTAACCCACCAAGTGAGTTGCGGAAGGTGCTGAAAGCAGTTAGGCTGCTAATCGCACCCATTGTTCCCAGCCTCTGCTGTGCCAAGATCTGAGGAACCTGTAATCAATAAAGTTGTGGCCTGATTCTTCTCAGCATGGTGTGTGTGTCTGTGGCCTCCTTCTCCCCCCCCCCCAATTCCAGGCACAATGGCCAATAGCTCACAAGACTGCTGGGGCCTGTGCAACTATTTTTAGAACCTGAAGTTCAAAAGGCTGTCATGTTTTTGTAACAAATCTCTCTCCCTCCCTTTCACATACGCACACAATCAGCCTTTCGAATGGTGTCAGGATAGGAAACTCCTAAGCCTGTTTGACTCATTCTACAAACACCCAACCCGATGTGGATTAGGCGTCCTGCATTGTATCATTTCTAACTCAACCCAAAATCCCTGTCCAGAAGGCATGGTGATACAGGCAAAACTGTTAGAACAGACACAGGAGATAAGCAGCCAAGACTTACAAGAAGAGTATCGGCCTTCAGGAATGAGTAATTGTTTTATGCTACCTTATGTTTTATATGTCTGGCCATACATGGTTTTAAATGTATATTTCTTCTTATAGTAATCCTTTTTAAGGTATTTTATGCCAATAAAGGTCAACTGAACTGAACAGAATAAAGAAAGTCCTGAAAGAAGAAAGTTTAAGTTCACACACAACCATTATACTCATAGGGTTAATGGGACACACAGGCTTCCTGTGCAGCCTGGAATGTATCAGCCAGCTAGTGGACACTATGGCGGCCAAACACTGATGCCCACCAGTTACAACTAATCCCGAGAGAACATACCATCACAATCACGGGTCATTTCCTGCGGGAGCGCACAGGAGCGGAGCTCCGGCAGTAAAGAGTCCAGGGGGCGGGCACATACAACAAGCCCCACCCCCTGCTCCCAGCAGCCCTCAGTCAGAGCAAGAAGCAGCCTGGTGAGTTGCAGAGCCACCCCCCGGTCCAAAACAGTCCAGTGGCACCTTTAAGACCAAGCTTTATTCAGGTACAAGCTCTCCCTCCTCTGCGAGGACAGTTCTATACGTTCTCTCCCCCCCCCCATAACTAGCAATCCAGAACAGTCCAGTGGTGCCTTCTGACCAGAGGTCATTTCGGGGGGGATCGCGGGGGATCGCAGTTCCCCCGGGTAAGGTATGGGGGGCGGGGCACATGACGAAGCCCCGCCCCCTGCTTCCGGCTGCCCCGCTTCCAGCCCTCATTCAGCCAGGAGGAGGCAGGAGAAGAGGGAGGTCACTGGCCCGCCAGAAATTTTTAACAAGTCGACAAACATACAGATACTGGAGTTCTCGATGCCCTTCACTGGTCTGACTGTGGTTACTAAAAGTCCTTGGTCTCATCTTTCCTACGTAAATTGTCAGTCCATCAGTCAAGAGTTTATTGACTGTGGCCAAAGATCATGACAACTGAGCAGATAAAATGTACAAATAAAACATGGACAAAGAACAGCAGACAACAAGGCTATAGTGTTAAAACCAGTTAAAGGTTCGTCAAAACAAATTGGCACCTTCTTTGATCCACTGAGTCGGAAGGCAGACGTTGGGTCCACAAATGCTGCAAACAGAGCCTTGGTGGGGCCCTTCATGCTCTGATGAACCAAGCTGCTAAACAGTCAGACAGTGATTTATAAGGCCTACCCCCAGAGGTCATTTCGGGGGGGAACGCGGGGGATCGCAGTTCCCCCAGGTGAGGTATGGGGGGCGGGGCACATGACGAAGCTCCGCCCCCTGCTTCCGGCCACCCCACTTCCGGCCCTCATTTAGCCAGGAGGAGGCAGGAGAAGAGGGAGGGTAAGTTGCTTCCTCCCTGCCTCTCCCCACCCCTGCCTGCCTGGGGCCTGGGAGGGCCTTTGCGGGGCTTCCTTGCACTCCCGCCGGCCTTGCAGGTCCACCGCCGGGCCCCTCATGGAGCTCGGCAGTGGAGTTGCAAGGCCGGTGGCAGCGGCCAGGACCGCTGGGGGCGGGGTGTGTGGCCTTATGACACACTTCCGGTGATGTCAGGGGGTGTGGCCTTATGACACACTTCCGGTGATATCAGGGGGTGTGGCATATGCTAATGAGTTGTGCTAATGAGTTCCCCTAGCTCTTTTTCTACGAAATGACCCCTGCTTCTGACATACTTCCGGTGATGTCAGGGGGTGTGACATATGCAAATAAGTTATGCTAATTAGTTATGCTAATGAGCTCCTGCACCTCTTTTTCTACAAAATGACCCCTGATCACAATCATTTTAGCATAATCATTGTAGCACTCTGGGCTCTCTTCTTTAACATGGGGCCTGCACACCCCGTTCTCATCCCGCTGCCCAACAAATAAATCCACAAAACTGCAAGAACATCAACGTTAGCAGATACAAAGCAAAGTAAAACCATTGTCAAATACTGTATGCCAGGAAAGCATTCTCTGCATTAAAAAAAACTCTCAAAATTACAGACATGGTAGAAGAATAGATGTAGTTCCTGATCATGAGATGCCACCATATTGAAAACTCTGGCCTGCCTCTCTTATGAGTCTTGCCTGGTGGACCTCCTGATGGCACTGGTATTTCTGACCACTGTGTGACAGAGTGTTGGACTAGATGGGCCTTTGGCCTGATCCAACATTGGCGTCTCTTATGTTCTAATTCATCATTGTCAATGCAGGTTAGCGGGTTCCCCCATATGGATGCTTCTGTTGCATGCAGCTTGGCTAAGTCCATATTGTAGGGCTCCCAACTCCCCCGGTAGGGCGGAAATCCCCCGCCCCGGAGGCTCCGTTCCCCGACGCCAGGGAATCAGGTCCCGGGGGAAACCCCTCCCCGGCGTGCGCGTCACCGGAAGTGACGTTGCACGCTGGGGGCGGGGCCACGCCATTTGAGGGGGAAACTCTTTGTTTTCCCCTCAAATGGCGTGGCCCCGCCCAGCGTGATTTGGCAACCCTACCATATGGATCTGGTCTGTTGGGAGCGTCAGGTATTCTCCTTCTGCTGGCAGGTTAAAAACTCATCTTTATTTGCCAGTTCTCTTGCCACTAGGCTAACTAAAGACATTGCTACCATTTTCTTGCCTATCTATCTATATCTATCATCTATCTATCTATCTATCTATCTATCTATCTATCTATCTATCTATCTATCTATCATCTCCTTAATCCTGGAGGATAGATAGATAGATAGATAGACAGACAGACAGACAGACAGACAGACGGACGGACAGACGGACGGACAGACAGACAGACAGACAGACAGACTCCTTCCTTTTTATGCTGGTCTGGGAGGAATGTATGGGGAAACAAACTTTATTGCATCACCTTGAGCATGATTATGCCTGGAGACAGCTGACCCCTTAATAAGTATACCCAGTGAGGAACATGGATGTGCACTACAGCAGGTAAACAAAAACAAGTTACTGAATGGTGTTGGGTGATCAATAGAGAGCTACTTCTCCAGCTACTACGGAAGCCGATAGCATCCCAGTCCCAAACCCCATCCATTTCTACCAAGTCCTACGCCTAGAGGAATCATAAAAGCATTTCTCTCTTCCATTTCATTCTGTTTTCCTGCCGACTCCCTAAAAGACACCATCCAGATGCAGCCAGAATACATGCAGCAAAGCAGACCAGATGGCACCATCCAGTTCTCATAGCCAGGAAGCGTGTTTCCATGTCAAGCGCTGCATATACACACTCAACTTACCCCTCCTCGCAGGCTACACAACACAGTGATGTCTCACAGCTGTGGGGCTTCTGGTTTCTGCTTCCAGCTGGGCTAGTGAGATGCCTTGTACAAGGTTAGACAGTCTGTGCTTCTGGTTCTCCATCTGTAACACAGATCCAGTAACAACATTACTCATTTAAACAAAAAATTGGAGGCTGCAAGACTTCACTAGATTAACCATAAAGGTTCCTTGGCGTTGTTTAAGGAGAGGCTATGTTCTCACATCCATCAAACAGTTATTACAATCACTAAGCCTGATACAAGGGACCGAGATCAACATTTGTTACAAGGTGGTAGGGGAAGCCAGCTAAAGGGACCCACCAGCTGTGGTCAACTCTTTTACTTGCACTGCCTCTGCTGTTTCAACAACAGCCTGATGCTAAGAAATTAAGCTGATGAAGGGTTTTTTCCTTCCCTATCAAGGTGATTAAATTACTGGAGACCCCCCCCTACTTAATTTCTCCTTGTCAACTTCCCTCAAGGTTCCAGAAGCAAAGCCAGGCCACAAGAGGGCAACCCTACCACCAAAACATCTACTTTTTATTCCCACAACACAGCCTCCCAAGTAGTTTCCTTATCATCCGCTTATGTGATTCCTTCCACAAAACCTACTCAGGCAGCCACAGGATGGTCACAGGGATCACGCCATGATTTTGGTGGAGGACAACACCAGTTCTGTGCATAGTGTGCAGAGTGCCCAGGAAGACAGAGGAGGTCAGCAGTGATCTAGATCTGCTGATCCCTTTGACACAACCACCACCTTGATGCATGCCTTTGTATGAGCGCATGAATTTTTTTACAGGACACGCCTGGTATAAAATAAGTCAAAAGGCAGACTTCGCAGATGATACTGGAGGTTGGTAGGACATGATAACTGTTGGGACCATAGCACAAGTCCCAGTCAATCAGAAGCCATTTCCTGCTCAGGTCTTGCCAAGCCCTGCAAAAAGTGAAAGTGCTTCCTAGACTCCACTAAATTATAGATTCAGGTGAGTAGTTATGTTGGTGTGAAGAAACAGAACAAAGCTTGAGTACAGTGGCATATTTAAGACCAACGAAGTTTAATTCTGGGTATAAGCTTCCGTGTGCGTCTGAAAAAGTGTGCATGCACATAAAAGCTTACAATCAGAATTAAACTTTGTTGGTCTTAAAGGTGCCACTGGACTTAAACTTTGTTCTATTTCCCCTAAATCAGGGGTCATTTCGTAGAAAAAGAGGTGCAGGAGCTCATTAGCATAACTTATTTGCATATGCCACACCCCCTGACATCACCGGAAGTGTGTCAGAAGGCAACACCCACCGCTCAGGCTCCACTGGACTGTTTTGGATTGCTAGCTATTGGGGGGGGGGGAAACGTGCAGATCTGTCCTCACAGAGGAGGGAGAGCTTGTACCTGAATAAAACTTGGTCTTAAAGGTGCCACTGGACTGTTTTGGGTCAGGGGGCCGGGGGCTCTGCAGCTTACCTGGCTGCTTCTCGCTTTGACTGAGGGCTGCTGGGAGCAGGGTGCGGGGCTTGTGGCATGTGCCCGCCCCCTGGGCTCTTTACTGCCGGAGCTCCACTCCTGTGCGTTCCTGCAGGAAATGACCCCTGCCCTAAATTATGTATTATGTCATTTGAATACAACTAAATAATGCATTTTTACTATGTGTTTGTTGATAACCTCTGAACTCACAGACCAGAACACCAAAAGCCAGGAAACACTTGCTACTCCAGCCTGCACATTTTCTTTATATCCCCTTCTAGAAATAGAGATTTACCCCTTTAAATCGAGAGCTCATCATTCTGTGAAGGGATCTGGAATAGCCATAGCGGTGCAAAATACTGAACCACCTCCCATCATTATTTTGAAGCAGGGGAGACAGCTATTAATTTGTTTAAGCTATTTATTAGACACTTCCCCCCCCATTCCCCCCCCCCAAAGTGGCTTACAGCAAACAGGGATAAAAAAAATATTTAAAACCACTAAAAGAATGAGTACACCACAATAAATTAAAGTCAATAAGTTAAAGTCAGTAGCATAAACCCATTGTAGAAACCACTTAAACCAACAGAAGGCTAAATAAATAGAGATTTAGCAACATTAAAAACAAACCTCCATTAAAACAAGTTCAGCAGCTGTCAAAGACTATCCAAAGAGGAGAAAAAAAATATTAGCAGCATTGCAGCAATCAAAACAATGCCGGGGCAAATTAAAAAAAAAAAAGATCTTCACCTGGCATCTCAGACTTAAAAGGCAACACTTATTTATTGTAATTTAAACCTGCTTTCCCTAACAAAAGAGTCAAGCAAGTTTACAATGAAAACAGATTAATAGCATAAGATATCCACATCAGATAAAAACCTATAAGCCCTCTGGGCTGAATGTTCTACCCAGCTCATCAGCAAAATACACGGTTAATATTTCAGCCTTATATTGCCTCGGGGGGGGGGGGGGCAGATCAATAAGGTGGGAGCCTTCCTGGCAGCTCGGGTAGACTGTTCCACCACATATGAACCACTACAGGGGGGAAAAGTTCAGTTTCTAGCCAACATAAATCTGATTTGATGGCAAGAAGATGAGATATTTTGCAATGGTCAGCTGTGTCGATCAGCCTTAGAGGAGCACATCAGGAGAGGTGGTCCAGTAGATATGTGGTTCCTAGACCACAAAATATGGACGCTTACTGGGTGACCTTGGGCCAGTCACACACTCTCAGCCTAACCTACCTCACAGGGTTGTTGTGAGGATAAAAAGGAGGAGAGGAGAACAATGTGAGCCACCTTAGCTCCCCATTTGGGAGAAACGTGGGATGTAAATAAGTAAATAAATAAGACTTTACAGGTAACAACTCATACAGGGTGCCAGATGAGTAACTGTGGAGGCAGCATTCCATAACCGAGGCACCACCACTGAAAAGGCCCTGTCTCGGGTCACCACCTACCAGCAGTTGTTAGCATGCCAGGCAGGGCCTCTGATGCCACCCATATTTAGTGGATAGGTTTGAACAGGAGAAAACAGCCCATCTGGCACCCTGGTCCCAGGCTAGTTGGAATAAGAACCAGCAATTCCATCTGTGCCCAGAAATGAACTGGGAGTGCGAGAAGGCTCTGTCAGGACTGACAGACCATGCTTACCGTAGCTCACATCAGTCCACAACCTCCTTGCTGCTGTGTTCTCCCTAACCTGGAGTTTCCAGACACATTTCAAGCACAGACCAAATACACAGCACATTACATTACTCTGCTCTGGATGCAAAGGCATAGATAACAGTGACCAACTCCTGCTTCTTGCAGAGAGCGCACAGTTGGTGTGCCACAGTTGGTGCACCCCCATCAGCCAACCCGGGCAGTGTGGTGTAGTAGTTAAGAGTGGTGGACTCTAATCTGGAGAAACAGGTTTGATTCCCTGGTCCTCCGTGTAAAGCCTGCTGGGTGACCTCGGGCCAATCACGATTCTCTCAGAACTCTCTCAGCCCCACCTCCCTCATAAGGTGCCTGTTGTGGGGAAAAGAGAAAGCCATTGTGGGCCACTTTGAGATTCCCTAGAATAGAAAAAAGCAGGGTATAAAAACGTACACTTACTCTTCTTCTGGAAGGGGGAGCAGTCACCCCAAAGATCAGGCTGACTTCTTTAGTCCCCTGATGGTCTAGATTACCACCTAATACCGCCTTCAGTCTTGTCCTCTTTAAGAGCTACTTCCCTACA